AGACGCCCTTCAGAAGATGAAGAATCGGATGCTGGCTCCGCAGTTGCATCAGATAATACGGTATCCAGCGAGGGACAACCCCGCGAGGCACTTATGATAAGTACGGAACAAATTGCCAAGATGCTTGAAGAGGCCTTAGCTAAGCAACAGGAAACCTTCAGGTTCGAAATGCAGATGGCCATGCAAAACATAAGAGAAATGCATGACCAACAAATCCAAGCATTGACGAACCAGCAAGGCGAGCCAAGTCGTCGCAACCAAGTCAAAAACCTCGAGAGCAAAATCAATACATTGATTTCCGCTCAAGAGATTAAGAAGACGGGCATTCCTTGTCCATACCCACGAGAATGGGAATCAATCCCCTATCCGGCGAAGTTTAGTCTGATTAACTTTACGCCGTTTGATGGGAAGGGTTCCCCCACTCAGCATTTGATTTATTTCAAATCGCACCTGGGTATTATTTCCGGCAATGAGCCTCTGATGGTGCGGTCATTCGTCGGCACTCTTCGCGGAGCCGCCTTCGATTGGTACCGCCGCCTCAAGCCAGGAAGCGTAAGTAGCTGGGACGACATGGAGACAAAATTCCTCGCTAACTTCTTCGACGACGACACCGAGGTATCTATCGGATCATTGCTCGATGAGAAGCAGAAGGACGGGGAGTTAGTCGACACCTTCGTCAAGAGGTTCCGGAATAAAGCGATGAATTGTCGGGACCCGATCACCGAGGAATTCATTCTCCAGACCTGCCATAATAATCTGTCCTTAGACGTATTGGAAGCAATGGGGACAGCACCGTCTGACACTTGGAAGGATCTGAAGGTCCGAGGGGAGCAGGCTGAGCGATTCCTTAGAAGGAAGAAGGCCGAGAGGAACCAACCGACGGTTAATCCGCTGAACTCAAACTTCGCCTCTCGTGGTAAGTGTAAGGCACCTCCTGCTGCTGGTGGTGCTAATCAAGCGTCACAACAGCAATCTCGAAGGCAGCAAAAGACTTCGGGTCCGAGATTCCAAAAAGAGTACTCTTTCAAGGACGAAGACGTTCCAGCCATCTTCGAATCCCTCCTGAAGGTAACAAGATCAAGCTACCACCTATCACAAACCAGGAGGAAGCTGACAACACTGCGGACCCAAAGTACTGTGCATACCACAGGAGGGTCGTTCATCCCACCAAGGATTGCTTTACTCTCAAGAATAGCATTCAGACCTTGGTTGAAGCCGGCGTCATAACGCTAAGGTAAGCCAATTGAGAACGGCACAACTCCAAAGAGTATACGAGTATAAACCGTTTCTCAATCCTCAGACCGGTATAAGAGGTTAAACTACTCCCTGAAACTCCAATAGGTATATGAGTCTAAACTGTCTCCCCACTTTCGACGGGAAGTTCCTGGAGAATATTAAGCTAATATTCTTAAGGATAACCCGGTTAGGTAACTGATAATAAAGTCCGAACCAGTTCCGCAGAGGACTGGGGGTGGACGATTTATGTAACGGGAAATTCCCAAAACCACAGTAAGATGATGAATAAGAAACTCCCATTCAAATTCTCACCGTGTCTGTGCACTCAACACTCTCTCTGTTAGAGTCTGGACGTAAAGTTCCCAATTGGTCAAACCTTCTTACAGTTAGGACCACAGTCAAAATCCCCTCTCGATTCCTCCAATGAACGAGAGATCCACCTTCAAATCAAGTGATCAAACCTTCCTACAGTTAGGGTCACCTCAAACTCCTGTTTGGCCAAACCTTCCTACAGTTAGGGTCAAAACCATAATTCACTCTCGATAAACGAGAAATTCATCTTTAGTTCGGTAATCAAACCTTCCGACAGTTAGGGTTATCCGAATCTTTTCGATTCTCGGAGTGGAGATCCCACTCTCAGTTTCACCTTTCCGGATTCTGGGGGTGGAGACAATGAACGAGAGGTCCACAAATCGAGCGATCAAACCTTCCTACAGTTAGGATCGTCTTAAACCTTCCATTCGGTCAAACCTATCTACAGTTAGGACCAAAACCAAAGTCCCCTCTCGATTCTTCCAATGAACGGGAGGTCCATTTTCAAATCGAGTGATCAAACCTTCCTACAGTTAGGGTCATCTCAAACTCCTGCTTGGTCAAACCTTCCTACAGTTAGGACCAAAACCACAATTCACTCTCGATAAACGAGAAATTCATCTTTTGTTCGGTAATCAAACCTTCCGACAGTTAGGGTTATCTGAATCTTTTCGATTCTCGGAGTGGAGATCCCACTCTTAGTTTCACCTTGTCCGGATTCTCGAAGTGGAGATCCCACTTAGAGTTTCCTTCGTAACTGGAAATAGAATATAAAATTCTTTCTTTCCAGTATCGGGTTCGTCTTTGCCCCAAGAGAAGACACCACGTATTCAATATCGTAGCACTAAAAGGGTTAACTCTCTTAGCACAACGTTACATGCGGAACGGATTTAGACAATCCGCATGCTAGCCCGACTCAAACGGTAGTCGGTAAAGGCTTCTCAAACCCGTTGATGGCTGAGGGTTTGCCAAAAATCCTATAAATACGGGGGTCACTAACGCATCAGCTTCATTAGTTGGTCTCGTGACCTGAGCATCCAACGACATAAATTCAACGTACGACGTTCAAAACCCTAAGGTCAACGCCGGACAACGCGTAACCCTAGGTCAACGCCTATCAATACGTTGCAATGAAAGAATCAACACTTCGAAAAGTATACGAGTATAAACTACTTCTTATTACTCCGAAAAGTATACGAGTATAAACTGCTTCTTAAATACTCCAATAAGGTATATGAGTATAAACTATTCCCTAATTTTTGAGAAGTTCCTGGAGAATGTTTTCTATAAATATTCTTAAGGATAACTCAAACAATACGACGCCGGACAACGCGTTGCAGATAATAAAGACTCAACGCCGACAGTCGAGGGTCAGTTCTGTGTTCAACCAACAAGCACGAGCTAAAAATCAGAAAACCAGGAATTGACTTCAAGTTCGAATTTCCGACAACGGTCAGACAATAAATGCAGCACCGAAACTCTTTCAGACATTCGACAAAGCACCGAATAGCCTGGAGAATTGAAGGAATCAAGAACGCAAGTCATTCCAAGGTCCCATTACACCGACTGAAGGTTAGGACAATCATATCCAAAGTATTCCAGACTCTTCTATGAAAGAACAAGACTGAAATACTTTGGAGGGGGTATCTGTAGGCATATAAAATTGCTTATAAGTCCCTTAGCTCAGCTCGGCGCAAACCGACAAACCAACGAGGCAACGAGATTGACTAGTCGCACGCAAGCAACGGAATACGTCCATTCGCGTGCGGGATCAAGCCAAGTGTTCGAAGAGTCAACGAGTCATCCAACCAAGGGCATACTCGGACGAATCACGATCGAATCAAGATCGGTTTCGGACTCGAACTCAGAAGTGGATTTACTGCCAAATCAGGAATCCGACTTACTGCCAAATCAGGAATCAAATCAGAGTCTGGATCAACCGAATCACGGACAGAACCCAAAGGTGGAAAACAGCAGAAAACCAAACACCCGGAGGGGCTCGGAAACCAAGTCACCGAGGCGGCTCACCGAGCCACCAAGGTGGCTCGGTGGCCGAGCCACCAAGTGGTGGCTCGGCCGAGCCACCTAGGTGGCTCGGTGGCCGAGCCACCTTGGGGTGGCTCGGCCATGAGCCGAGCCACCTCAAGGTGGCTAGGCACAGTGCCGGCCACCCCGAGGTGGCCGACAGTGGCCCGAGGTGGCCGACAGTGGCCAGAGGTGGCCGACGGTGGCCAGAGTTTCCTTGGTGAATCAATCCTCCCCGGCTATTATTTCCTTTGTGGAATAATACCCGTCGTACTGCTTAGATCTGACCGGATCTAGATCTCGAGGTGGTCCACGGCAAACAACCCCGGCGCAGGCAAAGAACCCACAAAAGCGAGCGACCGCAAAACAGGAGCTCGTGATTTGTTCGACAAACAAGGAGAAAGTTGTAATTTTTCTTTTATTTTCTTTGATTTCGTTGTAACCGGATCTTATAAAAAGACCGGATCTTTGTAACTCAAAAAGTTGTTATTTAAGAGTGCAATGGAATCAATAATGAAGAAAGATACGATTTTTCCCGCGAACAGTACCAGTCTCGTGTTATGGATTTCTAATTATTGGTTCCATTAGATTGTTTTTTCTTAGTTCAGTATTAATGTTTAAATATCTATAATTTGAGACTTATGGTATATACATGAGGGTTTTCTTGTTTGGATTATTTCGCTCGACGTACTACGTCTCGTGTTGTAGGTTTCTAAATGTTAATCCTACTTAGATACGGGAAAAATGAATCTAGGTAGACTATGCTTAATAGATAGAGCCTTCACTCCATCTAGTAGCCTTTTCCCTGGGGGCGGATGGAGGTAATCTTGCTGTAGCGCTCTGACGCTCTTGTTGTTATTTCTTTTTCTTTTAAAAATACCTTTTCAGGTAGTTCAGAGTTTCGGAGAGCCGCAGGGTGACGGAGTTCTGGCATAGTCGCCGTCGCGTATTTTTACTTGTAGAGACTCCACTGTAGTTTTGAGTTTTATCCAGACATTAGAGTTTCATATTCATATTGTAAAGGCAGTGTGCCTTAGTACGATTTTTAGTTGATTCATATTGAGACATTTTCATTATTCAGATATCAGATGTATTATAGTTGAGACATGATTCTTTTCATTTATGAGATATCTCTTCTATATCATGTCTATTACATTTATTCCCTTTATTTTGCCTATTTGTACCTGCACTTCTATTTGGTTCTACTAGAGGATATTACTGTGATTGGTAAAACATGTTTATGCACAGTGTGGGTGCATGGCAGGTTTGACATCTCTGGTTTCACCTTGGATTGCAGCCTTGTGTGAACCCAGGGGCGTCACAAGACTACAGAGCGTAGAGACTACAGAGCTACAATGTTCATAAATATGTATGCAGGTTTCAACTATGACTTTAATGATCATTAAACCTTATTACTTGCTTGTCAGGCCTTGATGAAAAATGCTACTGATGCAATGAAAGAATCCTGTGTTCAGGACTTTCTCGTCCTGGTAATTTGATATTGTTCTATCTCACTTGAGTTTTTATTTTTGACGCTGTTATATTTTCCAATTGAAATTAAGAATGAAAACTTTGTTCAATACATTGCTTATTCTAGGTAATTTTATATGTTTGATATTCTTCTTACATGCTCAATACATTTGCTTATTCTAGGTGGCAGAAGTGGAGAAGTAGATTGAGAAAGTAAGCACACAATTGGACATGCTTCAGAGTATTTTGGATATATGTCAACAATTTATGATCGCTCTAGTATTTTGGATCTATGTCGACAACTTATGTATCGCTATAGTATTTTGGTGAATGTAAACTTTGAATATAATTGAATTTGATATTAGAATATAATTACATTGTGTTGAATATAATTGGATATGAATGTGTTTTGGTGTTGTGCTATAATGTGTGCATGAGATATTATATGCCATGCAAAGTAGGTTTTGCAAATATCATATGTCGTGCGAAGTAGGCTCTACAAAAAAAATGTAGCTATCATCCTAGACTGAAAATTCCATCTAGGATGCTATCCTAGACGGAATTTTTCATCTAGGATGTATCCTAGATGGAATTTTCGTCTAGGATACATCCTAGAGGGAAAATTCCGTCTAGAATAGTCCTAGACGGTTGTTTTTTCCGACTAGAACTATTCTAGACAGTATTTTATTCCGTCTAGAATATATTTTCGTCTAGAATAGCAGTTTGGGCATCACTTCGCGGTTGGACCAGGGAAGAAAAGATGGCCAGGACGTGCTGATTAGATCCAAAAGAAAAAAAGGAAAATAAAGGGGATCTGTAATCTGCTGTATTAGATGACTTTTTTTTTCTTTCTTGAATTGTAATAGCTTGTTTAGGTTCCCTCGACAGGTCAGTCCTCGAACTGATGAGAGGAAGAGCTGATATCTCACCTTGTTGAGATATCTTACTTTTGGTTCTTGTTTCCTTAGTGAAACAGGAATTTTTATTGATCTAACTCTCTTGTTGTGCTGTCGAAGTACTGTCGAAATTTTTGCTGCGCACCACAAGAATACAAGTTAGATCGATAACGGAGACTGGCAAAAATCTGATGGAGGAGATCATCAAGAAGTTGAATCCTGATGAGATCTCAACACTGATGCAACTAATGAGGTTGTCGAAGGGAGAGGGCTCACAAAGCCACCACCCAAAAGGGTGGAGCTTCCACCTATCGATGTAAAGCTCGATGGACCCGCGACATATCTGAGTTGGTCACGACGGGTAAAATATACCCTTGCCGGGAGGAGCCTGGAGGGATATCTGACAGTGGAGAAGACTGAGCCGGCTGAGGGCTCCGCAGAAAGAGATGAGTGGAAGTCCACTCATATGTTGGTGTACATCTGGCTTCTGAATTCTATAGTCCAGCCAATTGCTGCCACAGTGGATGGCCATGGGAGGGTGCAGGATGTCTGGGAGAAGCTAAGGAGGACCTACGATGGGATGGGGAATAACCTTAGGGTATTCCAGATCAAGAAGGAGATCAATGCTATAGTCCAGGGAGAGAGGACTGTACAGGAGTATGCCACAGAGCTAGAGCGTTTGTGGCTCGATCACGATCACTTCTCACCCCTAGCAAGCTGCAAGGACCTGGAGTGCAAAGAACGCGAGGCCTCTTTGCAGAAGAGGACCATGTTGTTTCTCCGTGGTTTGGCTCCAGCGTATGAGCAGAGGACATCGTTGCTACTAACCCAGACGAAGATCCCATCACTGGAGGAGGCAGTCTCAGCCATGATACAGGAGGAGAGCCGTATCAGGCTACAGACTGGGACATATGGACTTACAGGGGAGAAGTCTGCACTGGTGGTGTCCAATCCGAATAACACTAGATGGGATACTAGGCAGTACTTTAACTGCGGAGAGGTAGGGCATCTGAGACAGATGTGCCCTAAGCCACCCAGGGAGAGGAACTGGGGTGAACGTGGTCAGGCTGGAGGCCGTGGCCATGGCCGTGGAGGCAGGCGAGGTGGAAGAGGAGGCCACCGAGCAAACTTGACAGTGGCAGAAAGGGAAGAAGAAGCTGAGATGATCTTCACTGATGAGGATCGGGCACTCTTGACAGCACTGAAGAGGAAACAGAGAGCAGTAGGTGATGTGTCTGAGGGGTCATCTACTACTTTCACTGGAGGGGACTATGCCAATTATGCCCTTCGTGCACACCTAAACGAGGGAAGATCCACTGCCTGGATAATAGATTCTGGGGCATCCAAACATGTGACATGCAATGCCAGTAAGTTCTTATCTTACACTCACTTAGCAGAAGCAGAGAGCATCCAAATCGCTGATGGTACATCACAGGATGTGGTTGGTAAGGGCACTATTAGCTGTACAGGTTCTATAACTCTATCTAATGTTCTGCATGCTCCTTCATTTCCTGTTAGCCTGTTATCCATTAGTGCCATTATCCTCCAACTAAATTATATTGTTTCTTTTGACATTCCCAAGGTGATCTTTCAGGAGAAAGGAACAGGGCGAAGACTTAGGACTGGGACATGGCGTAGCGGGTTGTGGTACTTGGACCACGAAGGGATGGACTCAACATGACTTCTGTGGTGGAGAGGACGGGAACAGGAGGAGCTAAAGCCTGTGCAGAAGATGAGTTGATGCTTTACCATCAGCGAATGGGACATCCGTCATTTGGCATTTTGGGTAAAATGTATCCAACTTTGTTTGGAAAAGTAAATAAACAGAAGTTACAGTGTGATGCTTGTGAGTTTGGGAAGCTGACTAGAAGCTCTTATGTTAGTTCGCGTAGTAAGAGTTCTTGTAAGTTTGAAGTAATACACTCTGATGTATGGGGATCCTGTCCAGTAAATTCTACAAATAGATGCAAGTTTTTTGTAACATTTATTGATTTCTTCTCTAGAATCACTTGGGTGTATCTTATGAAAAACAAAAGTGATGTAGTTGGCTGCTTCAAAGATTTTCATAAGCACATCCAGACTTAGTATTGTGCAGCAGTAAAAGTGTTGAGGTCGGATAATAGGACAGAGTATATCAACAGAACACTTGGGGAGTATCTGTCAGCTCAGGGGATTCTACACCAGACTACATGCCCATACACTCCAGCTCAGAATGGGGTAGCAGAGAGAAAGAACAGACATCTCCTAGAAGTTGCTAGGAGTATAATGATGGCGATGAATGTCCCAAAGGTGTTGTGGGGACAAGCAGTCTTAACTGCTGCTTACTTAATCAACCGGATGCCTTCGAGTGTGTTGGAGTGGAAGTCTCCTCGTGAGACACTGAAGGGAGATAACGGGAGGGCCCTATCATTAAAGGTATTTAGCTGTGTGTGCTTTGTGAAGGACAACAGACCATCGGTTGGGAAGCTAGACCCTAAGGCTGTGAAGTGTATATTCGTGGGCTACAATGGCACCCAGAAAGGGTATGTTTGCTGAAGCCCGGTGGAGAAAATGATGTTTGTCAGCATGGATGTGCGGTTTCGGGAGCTCGAGCCGTACTACACAGTGGAGGTTACTTCACCTTTTGGCGACTTGCCCGATACTGGAGGTATGATGCAAGAGGGAGGGAATGTTGAGAGTTCAAGGGGGTCAATCCCAATTTCGATCCCGTACTCAGTAGAGAAGGAGGATGAAGATGAAGGGGAGGATAAGGAGACAAGGGGTGTTAGGCCTACAGCTCAGGGGGAGTTGCTTACATATAGTAGGAGGGGGAAGGAGCCAGATGTGCCTACAGTAACAGTACCAGTGCCTAGTCCCTCGTCCAGCTCTGATCCAACTCCTGAGACACCTACACCACCCTCCACTCCAGGTAATACCATTCCTACTCCTGCCTCTCTCCCGGCACCAATGTCAGAAAGGAGGACTACTCGTAGTAATGCGGGAAATCCTCCTAAGAGATATGGTTGGGATCTAGATAAATTTGTTTCCTACTCTCACATATCCCCTTCACACGGAGCATTCATTGCATCATTAGATTCTGTTATTATACCTAACAACTGGCAGGATGCTAAGAAGGACCCAAAGTGGAAGGCTGCTATGCATGTGGAGCTAGGGGCTCTTGAGAAGAACCACACGTGGGAGTTAGCAACACTGCCAGTAGAGAAAAGAACAGTGGGATGCAAGTGGGTGTTTACTGTGAAGCAGAACCCAGAAGGGAAGGTTGAACGACATAAGGCACGACTGGTGGCAAAAGGGTACAGCCAGACATACGACATTGACTACGATGAGACTTTTTCACCAGTGGCGAAGATGAGCACTGTTCGGACACTGATTTCTCTGGCAACAAATGGTGGATGGCAACTACACCAACTAGATGTGAAGAATGTGTTTCTTCATGGAGATCTAGTGGAAGAGGTGTATATGGAGATACCACCTGGATGTGGCACAGGACAAATAGTAGGTAAGGTCTGCAGGCTGAAGAAGTCCCTATATGGGCTGAAGCAGTCCCCTCAAGCATGGTTTGATAGGTTCAGGAGAGCCATGGTTGGTATGGGATACAGACAGATCAATGCCGACCATACTGTATTCTTCTGAAGAAGTAGGGGTCACATCACTATGCTGGCAATGTATGTGGATGACATGATCATCACAGGAGATGATGAGAAGGAGATTGCTCAGCTCAAGGTAAGATTGAGCAAAGAATTCGAAGTGAAGGATCTGGGTCAACTTCGATACTGTAAAACCCCAAAAATTTGAATATTTTATGATAAATAATAATAAATATGTTATATATTTATAAATAACATATTATGATGTTTGAGTATGCTAGGAATTAGTTTGAGATCAATTCAATATATATATGTATATATAAGAGCAAATGCACAATTCATGCTCGATGTATAAATCTGGAAATTTATGACTAGCGGAGAGATTTTATATTTTTATCATAGATGTAGTTGGAATTTGTAAAAACTTAAAAGACAAAAATTGTAGGTATCTTCAACAGCTTTCCAACAAATCTTTAATCACCTCATTCTGAGATCGGATGAGAAAGTTATGGCCAAAATACCGAAGATCATTTTCCTAGTCAGATTAGGATTCCTGGTTCGGGTCAAACGGGTTTATTTCGGGTTTGCATATATATAAACATGTGTTTTCACAAAAATTAAGATCTTTACATTAGAGTTTCAAACCTTAGCAGCCCCTCTTCCTCTCTCTGAATCTCTATCCCTAAAGTTGAGAATTTTGAGAGCTTTGTGAAGCAAATATCGACACGAGGGCGAGATCATCAACGTGTGGCAAAGGGAAAACAGCTTGGTTGTACTTCTTTTTGGTTTCTGGTTATTTCAGAGTCTTAGAATGACATCTAAGGCAATATTATCTTCATCCAAACCCTTTTCCATAGTTAAATAACTAGTTAGATGTTTAATATGATATTGAATATGTGTTTTCATGCTTGAATCTTAACATGATGTGATAAAAGTTAAATTTTTGATGTTAAAACATAAACCAATGCTAGATTAGTAATTTTTTTCTTATTGTCTATGATAGTATCATGATCATGATTATTAGGATTTTTCATAATTTCATTTATATATGAGAAATTTAAGAGATGTACTAAATAAATATTTTCTGCAGAAAACTGTAGCAATTATATCATATTTAACTGAGATTTTGAAATAGAAAATAAACTCCAAATTTAACAAAACCAGTGCCAAATGAAAGATGCATGTATCTAGTTTCTAAAAATGAAAACCATTCTTAAAAATAGTTTGTATAGAGAAATATATGTTATATTTACTAACAACATATCCTGGAAAAAAAAGGATGCACATATATAATGTTTAACTGGAGATTTGGGATAACAAATGAACTCCAAACTGAACCAAACTTATGTCATTTGAAAGATGTGTGAATCTAGTTTTTAAAATAGAAAACCATTTGTAAAAATAGTTTTCCTAGAGAAAGATATACTTGTTTTACTAACAGATATCACGTCTGTTTTTCCTGCTCGTTTTGTGGAGCTGTGTTGCGCCGTTTTGAGGTACGTTCGTGGAGTTTTGTGCCGCTTGATGTTGTACGTTTAGTCATGAATATGTTATGTTATACATTTAAGAACCCCAAGGTGATTATGATAAATTTTAATTTGATCATATTTGAATTAGATATAGTTCATATACATGTTGGATGTCGTTGATGAGCACAGCTCAGTACTATATGGGATAGTGCGTCGACATACCAAATATACATGATTTATACATGAGCTGAATGTTGTTGATGAGCATAACTTAGTACTATATGGGATAGTGCGTCGACATACCTGAGATACAAAGATTTATATGAGGTGGATATCGTTGATGAGCTTAGTTCAGTACTACATGAGGTAGTGCGTCGATATTCTATATGTACAGGCCATTGAGTCGGATTTTAGGAGGCTTGATCAAGCCGTCCGTCCCGCACTAGGGTGTGATGAGGCTCGTGAGCCGTATTTCTAGGATGCCTATTTGGTAGTCCGTCCTGTACTCATGTTATGTACTGAGATCACGATGAGACTAATGAGCCGTGTACACAGTTCAGTATACCTACGGGGTAGTCCGTTGCACTGAGATAACTACTTGATAGCCTAAGTATGGTAGATGCCGATTATGAATACGACCTATCATTAAACTATAAGACTGAGATATGTTACTTTTAAAAGTATACAAAATTATGTGTTAGTATTTTATTCTATCTCTCCAGTGATAGTGAAAGATATTATAAATACGATGTGTTGATATCTTATTTCTTTTACTGTCTTTTTACTTCTTAGTTGGAATCAATGATTAGAGATTCACAATTTGAGACTTATGGTATATATATGAGGGTTTCCTTGTTTGGATTATTTCGCTCGACGTACCAGTCTCGTATTATGGATTTCTAATTGTTGGTTTCATTAGATTGTTTTTTCTTAGTTCGGTATTAATGTTTAGATATCTACAATTTGAGACTTATGGTATATACATGAGGGTTTGACGTACTACGTCTCGTGTTGTAGGTTTCTAAATGTTAATCCCACTTAGATACGGGAAAAATGAATCTGGGTAGACTATGCTTAATAGATAGATCCACTCCATCTAGCAGCCCTTCCCCTGGGGGCGGATGGAGGTAATCTTGCTGTAGCGCTCTGACGCTCGTGTTGTTGTTTCTTTTTCTTTTAAAAATACCCTTTCAGGTAGCTCGGAGTTCGGGAGAGCCGCAGGATGATGGTGTTCTTGCATAATCGCCGTCCCGAGAGATTTATTAGAGGCTCCACTGTAGTTTTAAATTTTATTCAGACTTAGAGTTTAGTTTCATTTTGTAAAGGCAATGTGCCTTAGTTCAACTTTCCATTTTGATTCATGTTGAGACATCGTATGTTATTTCAGACTCTATATGTATTCCAGTTTATTTTCAGTTGAGACATGACCTTTATTTATGAGATATCATCCTCTTTATCATGTCTATTATTATTGTTCTACTTCTTTGCCTATTTTATACCTACGCTTTTATTTGATCCTACTAGAGGACATTACTATGATTGGTGAAACTTGTTGTTGCACAGTGTGGGTACATGGCAGGTTTAACATCTCTGGGTTCACCTCGGACTGCAGCCATGTGTGAAAACAGGGGCGTCACAGTTGGTATTAGAGCTCTAGTTCCAGTATCCTTAGGATCATCCTATGTCGAGTCGTGGAGTTAGGATAGAGTTTCTTAGGATTCATGTATAGAGTCCGTAAGGATTTCCTAGTATGAGTGAGGACGATATATGCGTATATCTCAAAAATTGAAATTTTTTATAACAACTATTTTATGTTGATTGAAGGTATTTGCGTGAATACTATGTGTTATGAATTCGTATTGTGATACGTTATATATATATGTATTTTTGCTATTTCACTTACTGTGAAAATTAAGCTCTCCTTTTGATATTATAAATATCGAAACGAGGATGTGGTCGAGGTAAAACTCGTACCTGGAGAGTTGGGCATGCAGAGCCGAGCCACAGCAGGCTCCATAGTATTTGATCGACTTCATGGTGTCGTTAGCAGCAAGATCTTACAACAATCGAGGAGCAAGAAGTGTATCCGTCAGCAACACCACTTTCAAGAGATTCACCACCGGTTGTACCCATCGTGGAAGTAAAGATGAAATACTAATGAGTACACCACCACCACAATCAGTTGTTGATAGATCCGCAGAGCAGGAGATTTAACTCTGAAAGGATAAGAAAAATATCAGACAGTATGAGCACCAAAATTTCAAGGCACACCAGTTTCAATTGCAACCTATAAGGGAAAGAGTATATGAAAGTTTCTTGAACATCGGCTAGGAACCAAGCAGAAGTCAAATATATATTCAGCATTGAGGACCATCGCTGGAGGATAGCAACAACATCCAGGTTTTTTGACGAGATAGCAATTATCACCTATTTGGGAGAATTTAGGTCATTTCTTCATCAAACAATTAGCGCTAGTCTAAGTGAAGCAGGGAGATATACCCATAGTGAAGGAAGAAATCAAAATCCAGAATAGTGTCAATGATAATGGCAAGAGAACCATTGCGGAAATCTAGAGAAATCTAACAACGGGAGAATGATTTTACCCCAGCAACAAGGACAAGATAAGAAAGGAGCACAATGTGATTAGAGAGCGCCGGAGTAGCGCAGAGATTCGGAGAAACATGTTACAATCACAACAAGGTCGGACAAATAGCAAAAGACTTGTAGCAGTTCACAGCAGAAAGCTAGCATGATAAAGGTCGCAGTCGGCAATCTCAGAGTCGTAATTTCGGCCAGCAGTGAGGAAATAGAAGTACTACTTGTTAATCCGAAGATTTAGGGGCCAACAGGCCAGATTTGCATTATCTAGGAAATTTGCACTATCCAGCAAAGTCTATTCAGCTGTACCGCATGATCAGGGTACGAGCGGAGCTTTAGTCGTGATTTCATTTTCAGTTCGGATTTAGTTTGATTTATGAAATTCGTTTATCTCTTATCCTTCGTACTTTTGTTGATGGGTGTCAGCTTGTGGCATTCCTTAGATTTTCCATTGTCAGTGCCTACCCCTCTAGGGGGTGTCCCTTCCATCTGTAGGAGATGTGTCATCAAACTAGATGAGTCTGAGTTAGACATCGAGTTGATCGTGTTGTTGATGTCAAATTTTTGGTACGAATTGGTTATCTTCCTACCATGATAGTATTGACTGCTTTGCGTAGACGGTCAATTTGTGAGCGTCCGATGGGTCCGAGATGATTGTAGCAACCTCCCAGGGCAACCATTTTGCGGAGTCATTTTTGGCGTACATCGAGGAGGTGATGCGATGGGATCAGGGTATTGATTTATTAGAGACTAGAGTTGTCTCAGGCGATGGGATCAGGGTATTGATTTATTAGAGACTAGAGTTGTCTCAGAGTATCAGGATGTCTTTCAGGATATACCTGGATTACCTCCTGTGTGAGAGGTTGAGTTTTGTATTGAGTTGCAGCCAGGCACAGCCCCGATATCCCGCGCACCCTATCACATGGCACTAGCTGAGATGAGGGAGCTTCAGACCCAGTTGGACGAGTTGTTAGCTTAGGGTTTTATTCATCGGAGTCATTCTCCGTAGGGAGTGCCAGTTCTCTTCGTGAAGAAGAAGGAAGGCAGTATGCGTTTGTGTATTGATTAT